TTTTTTTTTTTTTTTTTTTTTTTTTTTTTTTTTTTTTTTTTTTTTTTTTTTTTTTTTTTTTTTTTTGTCGACAATGTCTTAACCAATTGAAATTTCACCGTACAACGTAAATTTTAATTTTTTACAAAAATGTGAAAGTCTCTCTCTATTATATGCGTTTTAAATTGTAATATGTAACGGATCAAAGCGGGCAACAACGGTTAGCAGTGGGCTTGGGGACTGTTACAAATAGTATTAGACTTAGACATTGGTTGGTGTGATAGTGAGGACGTTGGCTCCAAAGGGGTGGTTGTGAGATCCTGCATCGGTCAGAGAGGGAACGAGTCATTCCTTATAAGAATGTGGAATGTGGAATCTCTCTCTATAATAAACACGTTTTAAAACTGTGAGGCTGATGACGATACGGGATGTTTGCGAATTTGGTTGAGACATTTTGTACACTCAACCCCGTGTCGAGATGAACTTATAAATATATTTTCAAATTAACATTTAATTGTTTTGATTCAATTTAATCTAATTTTGTCGAGAAGAACTTATAAATGTTTCGATTGGGTCGAAGAATTTCATCCCGAGATCAAGTAAAGTCAAATTAATGGCAAAATTAATGAGGTTAAATATGTAATTTAATCTCTCATAGACCCTTTGCGTATGGTAAACTCCAAAAGAAAAATCAACCAAAATGTTAATTTTTTCTTCCTTGAACACTAATATTGGATGAATTTTAAAATTTCCAAATTCGAAAAATAAAATAAAAAACCTCATCGATTTCTTTGACGATATAACCAGAAGAGATTTGCAGGGGCAGATCTGAGAGATCAAGAAGAAACCTCGATCGTCTTCGTAATCTTCTTCAACTCTCTTCGCCATGGCCGCCATGGATTTCTCCTGCATTTTTCTCCTCTTCTTCTTCCTGTTTCCCATTTCTTCTTTTGCAGAGATTCGCTTCACCGACATCAGAAACGACGATCGTCCCATTATTCCCTTCGACGTCTTCGGCTTCAACCATGGCGGTCGTCTCGAGCTCAACGTCTCCCATCTCGCACTCTCCGATCCTAATCCAGATCTGGACTTCGCCAAGGTTGGGTTCTTCCTCTGTACACGAGAATCATGGCTTCATGTGATCCAGCAATTGGAGGAAGGGGAAATCCCTTGCGCACTCCAATCCGACCTTATCAAACTGGTCTTCGCTTTCAATTCCCTCAAAGGCCGTGATCAATTCGATGTTCTTTATTCCGAGACTGATGCCGATCAATATACCCTCGTTTTTGCTAACTGTCTTCAGCAACTTAGGGTTTCTATGGATGTTCGATCCGCTATGTACAATCTCGAGGGAAAAAATGGTGGCCGCGATTATCTTTCTGCTGGGAAAACTATCCTCCCGAGGATTTATTTCCTTCTCTCTTTGATTTATTTCTCGCTTGCTGTTGTTTGGATTCATGTTCTTTACAAGAAGCGATTGACGGTTTATGGTATTCATTTCTTTATGCTTGCGGTTGTGATCTTAAAGGCTTTGAATCTTCTCTGTGAAGCTGAGGATAAATCTTACATTAAGCGCACTGGTAGCGCCCATGGTTGGGATGTTCTGTTCTACATATTTAGTTTCTTAAAGGGTATCACATTGTTCACTTTGATCGTCTTGATTGGCACTGGTTGGTCTTTCTTGAAACCTTATTTACAGGACAAGGAAAAGAAGGTATTAATGATTGTGATTCCACTGCAAGTGGTGGCTAATATTGCTCAGGTTGTGATCGATGAAACTGGGCCATTTGATCAAGAATGGGTCACTTGGAAACAGGTGTTTTTGCTTGTTGATGTGATCTGTTGTTGTGCTGTTTTGTTCCCCATTGTTTGGTCGATCAAGAACTTGCGCGAGGCTGCTCGATCCGATGGGAAAGCGGCTGTGAATTTGATGAAATTGACCCTTTTTAGACAGTATTACATTGTGGTTATCTGCTATATCTACTTCACTCGAGTTGTAGTTTATGCACTCGAGACAATTACTTCGTATCGGTATCTTTGGACGAGTGTGGTGGCTGGGGAATTGGCAACTCTTGCGTTTTATGCTTTCACTGGTTATAAGTTCAAGCCTGAGGCTCATAATCCATACTTTGTAGTTGATGATGAGGAGGAGGAAGCAGCTGCTGAGGCATTGAAGCTTGAAGATGAGTTTGAATTGTGATGAACAAGAGGGGTGCTGCTGTGCTGCAATCTTGTTCTGTTCTGAATTGTGAGTTTTAAGGTAGAAAAATTCTGATTCTCAGTTTAAAGTTTATGTGGTTTTTTGTTCAATCTGGCGATTACAGGCATGACATGTTGTTTTTGATCTATGTTTTTTTTTTTTGTAATTCCATTTCTCTTAAGTTTGTAGAATAACATATCAATGTCTGTGATTTGGATTAGCGTGTACACATACTTACCATAACCCATAGTTGTATCTTTTATGAGTAGTTCTTCGTGTTCATCTTTTGTTCGTTGTGGCTCATAAACACGTGTAAGTTCTAGAGTGGTGGGATTTGAACCTTTGACTTGGTTGAAGGAATATGTTTTAACTCATTAAACTATGCTCGAGTTGGCTTAGATTGTTTTCTAGCGTTGTTTTTGTGTATATTTCTTATTGCATTGAGTTGGTGTTTCACTGATTCAGCCTTGATAATTTAACTTTATGAACCTTGAAAATCGAGTTGTTGGTTGAAAAAGTTGATTCTATAGCAATGAAGGCATACTCGGAAGAGGTTGTTCGTGATGGTCATATAGAATAGCCAAGGTAACTTGCAAGGTCAAGGGCGTGCCATCACGTCCTTAATGGAGTCTCGAACTTGACATGACATGATTTAAATTAGTTTCTTGTTTTTGCATCAATTTCTCTCCAAATCAAATGAAGAGTTGACTTTTAAGTCTTAAATGTTGATTCAAACATTGAACGATACTTTAGTTGACACACGTATTGATTGTAACAGCCCATGACAACTTCTTCAACAACAGCAACGATAACACGAAATCCTCTCCTCCACTATATTTCCTGGCAGCCCCGCAAGATTCATCACCACCATGTTAACTTGGTTAGCGATGACCGCACGTTCATCCCCACCATGTTAACTTGGTTAGCGATGACCGCACGTTCATCCCTCATGCGCTTCTCCTTCTTCACTCCATCTCCGTGACATAAGTAAAAAGTTTGTCAAATTTTTGGCAAACAAAGTAAAGTTGAGTTTAAAAAGATGTTGATAGGATGCAAAACCTCACAGATATCATTCATTATTAGAGAAGAATAATGTGAGCCAACAACAACAAAATCAAGCACAATTTGAAGTTGTTGTCAACCAATGACAACATTACCAAAAAAGAAAAAAAACACAACCCCTTCATTGAGAAGGTTCTTCAACTTCTTCGTCCTCGGTCGAAAACCGTAAATGCTTCCCTTTCGGTGTTGGCATCCCCTTTAAACGGAGGATGTTCGGTGAAACCCCTTCGCAAACTTCCTCAATCAATTCATCTTCACTATCGTACACAAACCTCGTGTGCTTCCCGACAAATTCCTCAGCCTTCCCCTTCTCATCCACACTAATTTTACTAAGTCCCCTACATAGCTCATCTAACAACCCATCATCCTCGCCTTCTACGTCTCCCTCTTCCTCGTCTTCGATCAGCTCTTCTTCGCCTTCCTCTTCATCATCATCTTCACCGTGACTACTAGCATTCACTTGAATGGACCATATTGATGAATTGTCGTCGTCCCGAGAAGGCGACGACTTCTCTTCCGAGGTGAAAACAGAGGAGCAAACTGACGATGCAGCTTCATCGTCGTCAATTATCTCCGATTTCTCAGAGAAATCAAGCAATAGAGACCGAGTAATTTGACTCTCGTCTTGTTTCTTTTCATCAAAAAGATCAATATCACCCACCACCTGCCAAGAAAGGCGAGTTAAGAACATGAATAAAAGATTAAATGTCTAGTATCCCTTGCGCAAAATGTTTGATATTCAATCAAACTCATCGAGTTATAAGCTTTCCGGTTTAGTAGCGATTAACTTTCATTCAAACCTGAGAAATCAGATGTTCTTCAGCAATGGAAACATTTGTGGTACTGCTAAGATTCCCATCCTGAGACAAATTCAAGATCTGCGGCGTATTCGCCGGAGTCGGTGCAGCAAGTCCCATCGGCGACTGAAGATGAACAACCGGCCGCCTTTCTAAAGTAAGCTTAGAAATTTCAGCTTCTTCTTCAACTCTCTGCAAAAGGGTTTTCACTTGTCCTCTCAATAAGGCTTCCCCTGAACCTGGCGTCATCATTTTCGGCCGGCAGCTTCTCTGTTTCGCCGCCACCGATGATATCGGAGTCATCATATTCCCCGCCGCCAACCCAACAATCGGAGAGTCATTAGTAATATCGATAAGCGCCGATCGATCTTGCCCTTTCGATACAGCCAAATCTTGAGACTTTCGATTCCTCGGAAGCGATTTCGATAAGCCATTGTTATCGCACTCCTCAATCTTCCCTAAAAAAACCAAAAAGAAACCGACCCATTTCAGAAAATCAAAAATTTGAAATGATTTGAATCATTCTTCGTAGAAACTAATCTTACTTGAGATAGAAATGTTGCTGTTGCTGGCGGAGTTTGCGGCGGCAAGGGTTTGAGATCTTGTAACGCGCCTGATCGACGACGGAGTCTCCATTGAAAGCGGTCGGAAAATTGGAATTTCGGTGAGGAAAACGGAGGAGGAGAGAGATTGAACGGCTAAATGAAGATATGAAGTGATGGGAAAGGGAGAAGGAGAGGGCTTTATAAAGGGTTAGGAGGAACGGAGTTCAAATTAAAATATGACCGTTGGAGCTTGAGAGTCCAGAGGAGGACGTTTTTGAAAACTAGCCGTTGGGGTTTCCCATAATAGAAAATATTTATTTATCCTATGGGGCCGGCTGGCGAATTGCATTTCTTTGGGGGTTATTTGGTGATTTGAGAAAAATATTAGGCACGGGATTTTTTTTTTTTTCCGTAATTAAATATTTTGGAGTTCCTTTTTTATTGACTTCAAATATTTGGATTTAGATATTTTGATTTATAATTTATATATTTTTAAATGTTGAATTTTAGTCATTATATTTTTAATAAATATTAAGATTAATCTATATTGTTAGTATAAAGTTAATTTTTATTGCAATTGGTTAAATAATAATTATTATTATTTATATAAGGAAGAGTAATCAAAACTATTTTTTTTTAAAAAAACTAATAATAAACGGATAAAAATTAAATATTTAAAATTATAGGAATTAAAATGAAATGAGATTCAAATGAAAAGAATAATTTATCTGGCTAAATTTTTATTTTTATTTTTTTAAAAAAGGGAACTTAATTGCTTTCAAATTTTTATATCTTAAATATTTTAACCAATTGAACTATACTTGAATTGGTATACTTTACAATATGATGATAAAACAGTAATCTAATGAAATAACTCGTATAAAAGAGTGATTTTTTTTTATTATTATTTATTTAATTTTCCTCTAGCACCAGAATTTAGAGGTGTTCGGTAAATTTTTCTAAAAGAAAATGAAGTTCGATAAGCTAGAAAAAAAGTAAAGAGTTAACACGGGAGTAGCTAGGCTTATTAAAATATCATTTATTTGAATTAAAAAAATGATATTTGTCAAATATTATGCCATTAATTAATTTATTAACTATACCCAAAAAGGCTCTACGGACGGATATGAAATTTTAAAAATACACAATGATTTAAAACTTTTCAAAACCGTGCATAAAGATGCCAGAGTATGCACATACACACATCTATCTCGATCCTTAGAGCCCTATAGTAAGTGCACGCGCCCTCTTAGGATTCAACTCTGCTAAACTCATCTTATTCGTTCTTAAGGTTATAAGGTATCTCTGCTAGATTGTTCTACTAGTCCCTTTCATTATCATCATTATAGACTCATAGCTAGTATGTTCTCGAAGAGCGAGTCCAACATCGATTCCAACTCATAATTCTCATCATACTGTTATGAACACCGTTCTCAAATTCTCTAGTACGAGTAGTCTGGCCAACTCCCATTTACCTATATGGTCAATTACTCTCAAACGAACAAGATCACGATTACAGTGTGAATTCTTCTTCCACCGTCTTATTTATTTATTGTTTTGTTTTAATTTTCAACTCCTTGCAACCGACTCATCATAATTGTAATTTATTATATATATTTTTTTTTTTTTAAAAAAAAAAAGCAAAATTGAGATTCTAGAAAGAAATGGTTTGGTTGGAAATGTGGCAGAGAAATGAGCTTCTAGAAGGTACCTTTAATGAATCCATATTTCTATTGTATTATTAAAAATTAATAAATATTATCTAATTTAACTATTGATAAAATATTAATAATTAATTTGTACGGTTTGAATTTAATTATGTATTTATGTAGGTTAGTTCGAGTTTAATTTAAATAAATGATTTTCCTAAAATTAAATTAGATTGAATTCTAATTTAAAATTAAATTTAATTATTTAAAACATAATATTTTAAAAATATATAAAAATAAACAAACGTTTTAATAACGGTTTTATTTTTACTAAAAAAAATTAAATAAATAATTTCAACCGTCCCAACCAACTTAACCAAAAAAAATTATATGGTTAATTACAGAGTTGTTTGGTTCTAAAAATTTACCATTAAATATTTAAAAATAAATAAACATTTTATTTTTAGTAAAAAAAATTAAATAAATGATTCACCCGTCTCAACCAACTTAACTAAAAAAAAATTATGATTAATTACTTGGTGGAGTCGAAAAATTTTACCTTTAATTATTAAAATTAAATATTTAAAAATAAATAAACAGATATTTTTACTTAAAAAATTTAAATAAATAATTCAAACCAACTTAACCAAAAAAATTTATGGTTAATTATAGGGTTTTGAGTGGAAAAAATTTATCATTAATTATTTTTACTACTTTTAGAGAATTCAAATATAGGTTTAAAAATTTGGGTAGTTGGAAATTACCGCGTCGGTAAAGTTTGGTGGGGGCATAATAAAAAGTGAGGCTCCTGCTCCTTTTCCTCTGAATCTCTCCAACGAAATCAATGGCTTCTTCCACCCTCACCGCCCTCTCCGACCAGCCGGCTCTGCAGCCCTCTTTCATCCGCGACGAAGACGAGCGTCCCAAAATCCCTTACAACCATTTCAGCGATGAAGTTCCGATCATCTCCCTCGCCGGAATCGACGACGTCGCCGGTGGCCGCCGGGCTGAGATTTGCCGTAAAATCGTTGAGGCCTGTGAGGACTGGGGGATATTCCAAGTCGTCGACCACGGCGTCGATTTGGACCTTATTTCCGAGATGACTCGTTTGGCTAGAGAATTCTTTGCCCTCCCGGCGGAGGAGAAGCTCCGGTTCGATATGTCCGGCGGTAAGAAGGGTGGATTCATCGTCTCTAGTCATCTCAAGGTACGCTACTCAAAACCCACCTCTCTCATTGCTCTATTTGTTTGTTTGCCATGATTTGATTTGAGATCCGAGTCAGCTGTTTGAGAAAGAAAATGAAACATTTTTTTTAGGGTATAATATCTTATAAATAATAGTAGAGTCAGACTGACTTCGAGTAGTGTCCATCTAAGACGTTCGCCTCCACATCAAGAATGTAGAAACCCTTCCAAACATTTTAAAAATTTTGAGAGGAAGTCCGAAAGATAAAATCCAAAGAAGACAATATATAAGAGTGTGTGCTTCGGTGAGGATGTTGGGCCCCCAAGACAGTGAATTGTGAGTGTTATATGAACACAACTCTCCACGATATTATGATATTATTTATTGTTTTAACTATTATAACTGAGGTAAACATACTAGATTTGTGGTATATATTTCAGGGAGAAGTTGTTAAGGATTGGCGCGAGATAGTGACATACTTTTCATACCCAATAAGAAACCGGGACTACACACGGTGGCCAGACAAGCCAGAGGGGTGGGCGGCGAGGACGGTGGAGTACAGCGAGAAGCTGATGGGGTTAGCCTGTAAGCTTTTGGAGGTTTTATCGGAGGCCATGGGACTGGAGAAGGAGGCATTGACAAAGGCGTGTGTGGACATGGACCAGAAGATCGTGGTCAATTTCTACCCCAAATGCCTTCAGCCGGATCTCACTTTAGGGCTGAAGCGCCACACGGATCCTGGAACCATAACGCTCCTGCTGCAGGACCAGGTCGGCGGTCTTCAGGCCACCAAGGATGGTGGCAAGTCGTGGATCACTGTTCGCCCTGTCCCAGGCGCCTTCGTCGTCAACTTGGGAGACCATGGCCACGTAAGTCTACTCATACATATCTTTTTTAAATAATTTTAATTTGGGTTGACATTTTTTAGTCGGAAAGTAGCCTCCACTATTTTGAGAAGGATAGAAAGCCACGTTGCCTTTTACCAATAAAATAAATCTCTCTCTCTCTTATTTATTATCATAACCTTTTTTTTTTTAATTCAATTTTTATTTCGACAATTATTTAAAAAGGTTTTTTTCATAATCATTTTAAAGTAGAAAATTACAATACATTATTCTTTCATTTAGATTAGAATAAAATTCATGGGTATTTTGTTTGTATTTGAATTTTGTCGTATATTTCAAAAATTACAATATTGTCCTTGACCTTTAATGAATTCATTAGAATGTTGGATGAAACGTTAATGTAGTAGAACATCATTCTATTTCATTTAGGTTAGAATAAAATTACTTGGTATTTTGTTTGTTTTTGAATTTTGTCGTATATTTCAAAAATTACAATATTACCCTTCCATGTCTTAGTCGTCTTCGCGGTACACGCTCGTAGACACAAATTAAGTAATAAAGTATTGATGATAAATAATGCAACAGTATCTTAGCAATGGGAGGTTCAAGAATGCTGATCACCAAGCTGTGGTGAACTCAAACACAAGTAGGCTATCCATAGCCACGTTTCAGAACCCTGCACCAGAAGCCATTGTTTATCCTTTGAAGGTCAGAGAAGGAGAGAAGCCCATTCTTGAAAACCCCATCACTTTCTCTGAGATGTATCAGATCAAGATGAGCAGAGACCTTGAGCTTGCAAGGCTTAAGAAACAGGCCCAACAACAACAACAACAGGCCCAACAACAGGCCCATTTTGAGCCCAAGCCCAATGACAAAATCTTTGCTTGAAATAAGCTCTTCATTATCCCCATCTCTATTAAATAATGTACTTCCGCCTTTCAAATTTCGTATTTATTTTATTTTCTATGAATTAATTATAATTCTAGTCAGGACAGTTATTCCCGTCTGATAATTATTTGGTTTTTTTTTTTTTTTTTTTTGAAAATAATATTTATAAGTTAAAAAATAAAATCAATTAATCTTTTGTAAGAGCTGAAGCCCACCTTAGCAGATATATACGGCTAAGGTTTTCACACCTTTTTAAAAAATGACCCATTGACGTGAGATTTCACAATCTACCCCTTTAGTAGCTCAACGTCTTCACTAACACACTGCTTGGTGTCTTGCTCTCATACTATTTATATCTCGCAATCCACCACTTTTGTGGTCAGCTAGTTCCTCTCTCTAACTAATGTGGGATTAAGATTTCATAGTCCACCCTCTTTAGAGGCTTAGTGTCACAATTGCGGTTTCTAGGCAGTGGATTTGGTTATTGCGCGGCACCCACTCTCAGCACTAAGTAGGTTAAGCCTACTTTGAGTTACGTGACGTGAATATAAACCTCGAGTCTCGATTTCAAGAGAAGATTTTAGAAAGCGGGGAAGAGAGGTTTTGGAAAAAGAGTTTTGAAAGCAAGAGAGAGAGAGAGAGATTGGTGTTATATGGGAACGTAAGCAAAAAGGCAACAACAACGGCTTAATGAATATAACTATCGGGTAGGGAGAAGTTGACAACTAGTCGTATCCTCCTCCTATAGTACATTTTGAGGCATTTCATGTCTAACAGGTGTAACCATGACATTGCTGAAACGTCATACTCTTAAAGAAAATAAGAAAGAAATAATACAACATGAAAACAGTAAAAGAAAGCAATAAAGTAGTACAATGCAAAGGTTTCAGTGTGTCACGGGCATGCGACCATGGGCAATATGCCTTGGATAAGCATGACCGTGAGACTCAGCGTCATTGCTGGCACACCACCCCCATATCTGGCTCTAATACCAGTTGTAACAGCTCAACCTCGAGTAGATATTGTCCGCTTTGATTACTTACATATCATCGTTAGCCAAATTGTAAATTACAATTTGATCCCTGAAGTTTTAAAATTTACAATTTAGTCCTTACAAGAATTATTTACGAGATTTTATGGAATAAATTAAATTCAACTTTTTTTTTTTTTTTTTTGATATTTAAAAAAATAAAATCAGGAAAGAAAAAGTGGTTGGTGGTGATCATGGATGTATGAGATCTTTCACATAAACTTATCCTCACATCAACCACTTCATTTCCTCTCCAATCTCCTCCACCCGATCCCTAATCCCCTTCCCATTTCTTCTTCTCTCTGCTTGTTCTTCCATTTCTCTCCCAAGCCTCCCTCTCTCTCTCTCTCTCTCTCTCTCTCTCCGAATCCTCTCCTTCTCCAGCAGCCATGGCCGCTGCAGTCACTGCTGCAGTTTCTTTCCCCTCCGCCACAAAATCCTCTTCTCTCACTTCCAGAACCGCGCTAATTTCCCCTGACAGAATCGCTCTCAAGAAGGCAAGCACATTCCGATCCCTAATTTCTGCATTTCCTCCAACTCGATGATTTTTGCGATTTCTTTAATGTCTTCGGTTGATTTGATTTCATTTCATTTTTCAGGTCCCGGCGTTGTTCCATCATGGCGGAAGAGTGGTGGTGGCTCCGATTAGAGCTCAGGTGACCACGGAGGCACCGGCGAAAGTGGAAAAAGAGTCGAAGAAGCAAGAAGAAGGAATCGTGGTGAATAAGTTCAAGCCTAAGAGTCCGTACGTTGGACGCTGCCTTTTGAACACGAAGATCACTGGCGATGATGCTCCTGGTGAGACTTGGCATATGGTCTTCAGTACTGAAGGTAAGTCCGTCTGAATCTAACTCACAATTTTTAGTTCCACTGATTCATCAATTTCAATGGTCGATTCATTCATTGATTGTGCTTGATTCTGCGTTTTGAGGCTGATTTTGGAAGAGATGAATTCATATCTTTGTTTATGCATTTCGAAATCATCGTCTTCGCACTCATATTGTTTATGGATTCAATTACATCTTACTCGTCTTATCATTTGGTTAAACTTCAGGAATCCGTTTCTCACTTGTCTTGTAAGTGTTTGGACTGATTGTGAGACTAATTTGAAAATTTTAAACATAGGAATTAAAATGACAAATCTAAAATTATAGGATGAAATTGAAAATTTTAATTTTATAGTTTACAAATGGACTAAACTGAAACTTTTTTTTTTAATCGAACAAATAAAATCTTTTAAAAATTTTAAAATCATACCAACTAAACTAAAAAAATTTAAATGATATGAATCAAATAGATTTTATTTTATTTTATTTTTATTATTGTGGGTTGGTTTGTAGGGGAAGTGCCGTACAGGGAAGGGCAGTCAATTGGGGTAATTGCTGATGGAGAGGACAAGAACGGGAAGCCTCATAAGCTCCGATTATACTCCATTGCTAGCAGTGCCCTTGGTGATTTTGGAGATTCCAAGACTGTATAACCTTCTTCTTTCTTTTTCTTTTTCTTCCCTTAAAACAAAATAATTAAATTATTTTCTTATAAATTTTATTTTTTAAATTAGTAAGGGAGTAATTTTTGTAAACTCTATTCAGGTTTCTTTATGTGTGAAGCGGCTTGTGTACACCAACGACCAAGGAGAGATCGTCAAAGGAGTTTGTTCTAACTTTTTATGTGAGTTTTATAATTAATATATTTAATCTTTTTTTTTTAAAAAAAATATTCGGTAATAAAAATTAAAAGAATTCTTCATTATATTTAATTTATTTTATAATTGTAGGTGACCTGAAACCTGGAGCAGAGGTGAAGATTACAGGACCTGTAGGAAAAGAAATGCTTATGCCTAAAGATCCCAATGCTACAGTTGTCATGGTAACTCATAATTACCCACAAATCATCCAAAAAAAAAAAAAAAAAAAAAAA